TTTTTCTTCTCTTGTTGGTGGTTCTTCTCGACAGTATAGTCATAAAGCATCCACAAAAGCAAAAGCCTCGTGCTCATGATCTCCAGGCCAAATGACGAAATGAGTTGTGTGTGGTTGACACCATGTGATGTGGGGAGGGGTGATTTAATCCGTGATTACGCATTGTTCTCATTTGAGTTTCAGGACGCAAGTGACTTGTTTTGCACAAATCGGTAGAAAATTCGAAAATGTGCATGACACAAAGTACGCTTTCCGGAACGACCCATTATTGCACCCCGAAGTGTCAACATAGACAGCTCTACTTTTGTCCCAACCATACTGTAACTAAAACTCCGTAGCAAACTAGAATATAGCAATGCAATTCGCTAATGATTTTGTTCTCCCTCCACTGCAAGTCCTGCAACTCTGTCAGATTTCGACCCAGCTAACAAAAAGCGCCAAGACATTCGACAGAAGGCACTACCTCGTCGAGAGGATGCTGAAACTGAGGCAACCCATTGGGATTCAAGTTACGACGTCCAGCATAATTTGCTTGTACCTTTGTGACCAACATATGTGAGTTCAAAGGTTTTTAGAAAAAGGTTGACACTGCCAGGAAAGTGAACCAGGGCCGTTTCCTCTGGCACTTACAATGTAGTAGGCACAACAGTGGACCGTTCCACCACTGCATCAAACGCTTTCATTGAAGTTGTCATTCTATCCACCAAGATGCGAGTCCTGAAAGTCCATGATCTGCAATAATGGGTACGCAAGGGTTTGTTCTACGATGACGTATTGCTCTTTCCTTTCATTCTCTCCAATTTTTTTCGAAGACGACGTCATCCCATGACGATTGGTTACATTTCCCTGGAAATTGTGGGAATTTCTCAAGATCGTTCAACACGTGGAAATATTTTTCACGATCGCTCAAGTTGAACGGTCGTGAGGTATTCTTATTCCAAATCGTTCACCGCAGCATGATTGGCTACAAGCCTCATGAGCCGGCGGACGCGGCATGCCTAGCATGAGGGATCGTGTACGTGACAGTTTGCGACAGCAACAAACGACCCAATTAATATCATGTCAACTTAAAGATATACTTAAGCACAAAGGTGGCAGGATTCGAACACTATATAAATTTGGATATATGCAATATTAGAGGAAACAAAGTGAAAGAGTTAATCAATATGACTTTCGTCGTCGCTGCTACAACTTCCTGCAGAGGATCCTTCATCCGACTCGAGTGCATCAATCTGAAGTAGATGTTCATGCAACTTTTGTAACTTGTCTTCGGCGACTTTGACACACCCTTTTATTGCATGGGACGTCATCTTTAAAAACGCCGCCTTGAGCCGTACCTTCACCTCAGAGTACTTTGTCAGGTCCGTGTACTGGAGACCAACATCGCCCTTCACAAGAGCCCACACCATATCAATAGGCTGAAGTTCGGAATGGTGTGGTGGTGTAAAATCGCAGTATGACCTCGGCCTTTAGCCATCGTCACCACCACTGGCAGAATGTTCGCATTAATGAACGCCTTCAACTTGGCCCAAATAACACTCTTGTAGTCGGTGTCCAATACGGGATGCCGTACAATTTGCAAGCTTCCAACAACGTGCCCTTGCGCTGTCGACTGAATGGTATATTATCCGGTCGCCCATTGTGATTTTTGCGTTGCACATGACAATCAGGGTGTTGGACACGCCGATGTCGTCCAGCTCATCTAGTAGCCTGGCAAACCACCGCACATAGTATTCATGGGTGAACTTCCCATGGTAATCCCTTGGCTCCTGGCGCGTTGACTTCCCACCAGTGAAAATGTCCAGCGCCAGGACTGGCTGTGGATGGTGGGGGAGTCAAGAATGGCAACAACAAAGCAGTATCTCCCTCCTTTGTGCTTCTCCTTTGCCACAAAATCCGATGTGTCCAACGGGTCATATCGTTCAAGCTGTGGTTACGGCACTTGTAGTTGTGGTGGATGTACGACTCGTCTGTGTGGACAACGTGTTGCCGTTGGGTTGATGACATATTATGTTGCAAATGCTGCACATATCGTCCCGCGCCAGTGTGATCTTGCGCGACAAGTGGTATGATGATGACCCCTTTTTATCCTCTCTTGTATCCCTGCCGGCTCATGTACCTCTGCACATACCGGAGGACCGCTTTGTAGGAGGTTGCGATGTTGACATCAAAGTCTATGACACACATTACCATTAGGTACATGACGACATCGACAGCTGTCGTCCTTGTACACGTTGCGCGACGATTCCGCACGAATTCTTATACCATGGCGACCGCTGCTTGGTTTGTGGTATTGTTGTGCTGTGTGATGTGGTGTTGGAAGGTGGAGCTACAACTGTGATGGCTGATCCCGACAAGTACTCTCGTCAAACACCCTTGACAACATCCAGGCTGCGACCGATTGCCTCGGACACTTGACGCTGCAGCCTTAGATTTTTGTCCTCTGAATTATGCGTGCAGCCGGAGGATGTCAAGTCGTTCTTCCCGAGTCAATGTGCGATGACGCGCGGCTTTTACGAAGGCAAGACAGGATTCAATCGAAGGAGTCATGAGCTTGCGATTAGAATTATGAAGTTGCGCATGGATTCTTTTTTAATTTTTTGACCTTGCGTTCGACTCCATTTTGTTACAGTACGTTGGCAGGGTATAAGATTAAATACGTCCTCCATGATGACCATGATATAAACTCTGAAACTGAATACTTCGATGTATTCGTTTTGTTGTGTCTTTACGTTATGGAGTGCCAGATGAAAATTGACAAACATTCAAGATTTACTTGTAGCATACCTCAAAAGTGAATCTATGGCATTAAGCCTATAGAGGTGTATTGAGCTCAACTTTTCCAATGCACCATACAAAACCCCACATGAATTCAATGCATACTGGCTGAGATATTGGAAAAAGTCCGTTTGATGCTATCGCAAACTGTGAGTACACATGGAAAGGCGCTGGGAACCACTCGGTGGCTGTCGCGCTCGGTGTGGCGTCGTGGACGGCGGGTACGGTCGCTGGTTGCTGGGGAGGCACTGAAATTCTGGAATGGAGAGGCCTGAAACCCACCAGGGACTTACTTCCAAGGTTATTAAGCTCAAAAGACATTAAGGTAATCA